AAAATATTTTTGAGAAATACAAATGAAATGAAATATAAGACGCAAATCATTAGATAGATGATGTGTCATCAGATAAAGTATGCAATTTGACTTCATAAAGTCTTAAATGCATATAATTTATAATGACTAATGACTACTTGTTACATGTCTAAGTGATTCCTTAACAGATCAAACTAAGAAAGTTCATTGAAACTCACAAATATGTTAAAGTAAATGAAGCCATGCTTTGTGCTAGAACCAAGGACAAATGGATCCCTAAAATCATGGAGAAAGTCAGTAAAAGTAGATGTAGAACCTACTCATCACTAACACACACTACTTATAGTTCATTTGGTATCCTAAAGTTTATAAGTAATCTCCTATATCAGATAAGAAGTGACAATTTGGTGAAATACATTTAATGCTTCAACGAATACTTATCACCTTGAGAAACATATAACAAAGACAAAAGAAACAAGCATGTGAGGAACCCTTAAGGTTTTGCAACGGTCATCTCCATCTGGGCCACTATATAAGAAGTTTCACAATAAAAAAGAATAAGAACTTTTGTACAAATTATTATTCATTCATTATTTGTGTAAAGACTTTTGTTCTTAATTTTTTGTATCATGTCTTATTTGTAAAATGAAACAACGTTCGTAAAAATTTACACAGATATAACTATTGTTATAAGGTTGAGCTTGAAGAGGTTTGTCTACAAAAGAATACTTGTTGAGCTTGAAGATGCTTGTTTGCAAAAGAATACTTGTTTAAGCCTAAAGTGGTTTACCTGAAAAAGAATACTTGTTTGAGCTTGAAGAGGCTTGATTGTAAAAGAATATTTGGTGTTGAAGCCTGGAGAGGTTTTGTGTAAAAGAATACTTGGGTAGATTGCTTGAAGAGGTAATTCAAAGAATACTTAGGTTTGAGCCAAAAGTGGTTTGTTGAAAGAATACTTGTATCTTGTTTAAGATAGTGAAACTTAATCTAGTTGGATTGATAACTAGACATAGTTTTAGTGGTTGAGATGAATTAGTATAAAATATTGTATGTTTCATTTGCCTCTTCTTCAACACTTTTTATTGTTAGCATTACTAATTCACTACTTGAAAAAGTGTGAGGTTTTTATTAACATGATTCAACCCATTCTAGTGTCTATATTTTCTCCACAATTTGGTATTAGAGCTCAGCCTTTAATAGGATTGAGCATCTAACCATGCTAAAGGAAAAGATCCATTATGGGAAATAGTGAAGGCCAACACCCACCAGAAAGAGCTTCTCTTACAAGGCCTCCTACCTTTAATGAAGAAGACTACCTGTATTTGAAGGATAAAATGGAAATGTTCATTAAATCCACTTAATACCATCTCTAGAAGATCATCACTAAAGGTGATATAACTGTGACCAAGCTTGAAAGCCAATACACTTAAGATGACTACAACATTTTACAACTCAATACAAAAGCTAGATATATCTTGGCATGCTCCTTGTCCATAATTGAATACAACAAGTTCTATAGCTACTCAATATCCACAGAAATGTGGCAGGGTAACTCATAAAGGTATTGAGGATGTCAAACTCAAATGAGCTGCCACTCTTTAGAGATACTATGGGTTGATCTCTATGAAGAAGCATGAGCCCATTGATGAAATGTTTGAAAGCATTCATGCACCAATTCTAGCTCTACCTGAATTTTCAAAAACTTTTGAGCTAGAATGTGATGCTTATGAGATAAGTGTGGGTTGTCTTGTTGCAAGGTGGGCACCTCATGCTTAGTTTAGTGAAAAATTACATGATTTCTTCCAACTACCCCACTTATGACAAAGAGCTATATGCTTTTGTAAGTGACCTTCAAAATTGGGAACATTACCTTGTTCCTTAGGAGTTTGTCATACATAGTGGTAATGAATCACTTAAATATATGAGGGGTCAAGGCAAATTAAATAAGAGACATGCAAAATGGGTAGGGTTCTTGGAACAATTCCCTCATGTGATTAAATATAAGAAGGGAAAATCAAATGTAGTGGTTAATGCTTTATCTAGAACACATACATTACTTATTTCCCTTGGTTCTCAAATGTTAGGATTTGATAATATTAAGGAAATGTATGAGAATGATATTGACTTTGCAACAATTTTTGTTGAGTGTGGCCATAAAGCCCAAAATGGTTTCTATATTTCTAAGGGGTAGTTGTTTAAATAAGGAAAATTATGCATACCCTAAAGATATATTAGAAAACTATTAACAAAAGTGAACCATGAAGGTGGGCTCATAGGGCATTTTGGAACAGATAAAATTCTTTCAATGCTTAAAGAAAAATTCTTTTGGCCCTACACAAGAAAGAATGTCCAAAGATATTATTCTAGATGCATAGCTTGTTTACAAGCTAAGTCTAAACTAATGCCTCATGGTACATTCATACCTTTACCTATATCCACTTCTCTTTGGGTTGATATTAGTATGGACTTTGTCCTAGGGATTCTAAGAACCCAAAGAGGAATGGATTCCATATTGATGGTAGGGGATCATTTTACTAAATTGACACACTTTATTTCCTACCACAAAGTGGATGATGCCTACAACATTGCTAGGCTTTTCTTTAAAGAAATGGTTAGGTTGCATGGACTACCCAAAACCATAGTTTCAGATAGGGATATTAAGTTCCTTAGCCATTTTTGGAGGACTCTTTAGGGAAGGTTAGGAACCAATTTGGTGTTCTCTACTACCTGTCACCCACAAATTGATGGGTAAACATAAGTATTGAAAAAATCACTGTCTACTATATTGAGGACAATTTTAAGAGAAAACCATAAGTCTTAGGATGAATACTTGCCACATATAGAATTTGCCTACAATAGAGTGGTCCATAAGACCACCAAAATCTTTCCATTTGAGGTTGTGTATGGTTTTAATCCTCTTGCTCCTATGGGTTTGATACCTCTTCTAGATGTTGTTTCTTTTATTCATCAAGAAGGAGCCTCTAGAGTAGAGTTTGTTAAGAAATTACATGAGAGGGTTAAAACACAAATACAGCAACAAACAGAGAAAAATACAAAACACAACAACAAAGGCCAGAAAAAGGTCATCTTTAAGCAAGGTGATTGGGTTTGGCTTCACCTTAGGAAGGAGAGGTTCCCTACTAAGAGGAATTCTAAACTCAATCCTAGAGAAGATGGACCCTTTCAAGTCATCCAAAGAATTAACAACAATGCATATAGGTTAGGCCTTCCAAATGACTATGGAGTTAGCCCTAATTTTAATGTATGCAATCTTATTCCTTTTATAAGGGCTACAAATGATAAGGAGGAGCCTGCAACTTTGAGAATAAATCTTCTTTAGATGTTTACCCCTTTTATTTAAGTAATAGAGTAATAGATTATATAAAGATTATAGATTATTAGAGTTATAAAATATAAATGGCTTAAATATATTTTAGTCGTTCAAATTTAAGGTAAATTTATTTTTAGTTCTCCAAATTTGAAATTGATCATTTTAGTTCATATAATTTCAAAAAATATTATTTTAGTCCTTATACTCAATTTTCTTTAGATAATCCATCAAATATTATCTCACAAAATTTGTCTACTAATGTTTCTATCAGTAAAAATATAATATTAAATTCAGTTGATATTGTATAATTGTCTTAATTTGTCAAGATTTTGAAAATTATAGGAATTAAAAAAAGTAGTTTTAAATTTGAGGGTTGAATTTATCTTAAATTTAAGGAACAAAAAATATATTTAAACCAATGTAAATTATAAATTAGTTAATATTTAAATAAATAAATAAAAGGGTTAAATATGTTTTGAGTTCTCCAAAAATTGAGTCTATTTGATTTTAGTCACTCAATTTTTCTTCTTCTTGATTTTGGTTTTTATAATACCTAATTTTAATCCTTTTTTAAACATTGTTAACTTTATTAAAGACTAAACCTAAATTCTAAACCTTAACTTTTATGGTTTTAATAACCCATCTCAACATCTAAATCACCATAAATTTTATTGACATGGAATTTTTTTAATTTAAAATATTAATTATTTTAGGATTAAATTAAATTTTGATAAAACTAATTTTACCTTAAAAACTTTTCACTATTTACTGTTGGATGCATGTATAGGGATTCTAGTAATTTTTTTTTTATTATTTTTTTTACTTGAACAAAGAGTCTCTCACCAAACTATACTAAAATCTTCTCACAAACTCAAAGCAAGAATTTTTTTCCTCCATCGCCATCATGGTATCCATACATGTTTAGTTACGCGTCTTCATTTGCAACCCTTTAAGTTTTAAATTTCCAATTTTTGACAACATTATTTCATCCTAAATCTCAACCTGCTAATTACTTTAAACAATACTCATTCTTCTCCCTCCTCAACCTTCAAGATGGTACCTTTTAGAAACAAGAGACCCTTGACTTCTTTGGCACTAAGGACGAAAGCAAAATAGAGAAATAAAAAGTAAAATAGAACACTTCTAGAACCTCCATATCTAGGTTTAAGAGTGAATAAAGAAAAGTTTTAAGTGTAAAATTAATTTTTATCTTAAATCTTATTTAATCATAAAATGATTTATTTTAAATTAACAAGTTTTATGTTAGTAGAACTAATAGTGATTTGAATACTGATATAACTTATTTTCGTCCCTAGAGTATCTAGGGCCGATAGCAGTGACTAATCTCCTCACTACGTTGGAGACACTTTAAAGGGTGAGATAGCTGGCCCCAAGATTTAATACAGCTGCATACACAAGGCAAGATTCGAATCCCTAACTTTGCTTAAGTGTGGATCAACCCCTATCCCTGTGATATAACTTATTTTAACAACAAAAATTAACGATATTTTTAAAAAAATTAAAATAAATATTATATAAATTTAAAAGATTAAAATTAAGATTTTTTTTAAGAATGAAAACCAAATTGAATCCATTATTTGTAGGACAAAAAAAACATATTTAATCCAATAAAAAAATACCCAAGACAAGTTTTTCTATTTCCGCTAGGAAAAAAAAAAAAATACAAAGGTAACCACCAAACAGCAGCAGCGTACATATTCAAATTAAAACCCGCTAATAACTGTATTCGCTTCTTCGTTTTCTTCCGCTGCAGCTTCTCGCTACTCAGTTCAGTGCCCATAGTAGAAGCCAGAGCTCCTTTAGGAAAACCGAAACCTAGAATTAGGGTTAGGGTTTTCGTTTTGGTGCAGAGCCATGGAAGCCGCAGTGGTCGACCCTGGTTCCAGCCTCCTCAAAGCCGGTTTTGCGATTCCCGATCAATCTCCCGCCATGGTATCACATCGATTCTCGCCCCAAAATCCCTTTCTCCCTTTGCTTCCAATTTTCATTTCTCAAAATAACATAATCTGTGTTAAATACAGCAATGTGTGTCCCTAATTGTGCTTCTTTTGATTCAGATAATTCCCACCCAGATGAAGCGAATGCTCGATGATGGGTTGGTGACCGATAACCCGGCCGTCGATGAGGTTGCCGTCGATCCGGTGTGCCGGGGTTATGTCAGAGATTGGGATGCCATGGAGGATTTGCTGCATTATGTGTTGTATACTGGCCTTGGATGGGAAATTGGCAATGAAGGGCAAATACTTTTCACGGATCCACTTTGTACTCCAAAGGTTTGAGCTTACAAGTTTATACTTTTAGTTGTCATTAGGAAAAATAATTTACTATATTTAAAATGTGCTGTTTTGTTGACCCTATTTTCAGCTTGTTTGGGCTTATATGCTGCAATGATAACTTGTTAATTAGTTTAGCTCTGTTTGGATGATCTTATTTTTGGTGACTTAAGAAATAAAGCTTGTGAAAACAATTCTCTGTGGTAGCTGTTTCTATGATAATTTCTTTGACTTTATTGAATTGTCCGAACTGCATTCCTACATTAGCATTTCTTGAAGCAACTATTCCTATTCGGCTTATTTTTAGGCCTGTAATAGGCATGACAGTACAGATTATTTAAGAAGCTTTATTTGAATAAGTACTAATGTATTCTTTTAATCCTAATAGGGTAATGCGTCGCTGGAGTGTATGTGTTTTCTTGTGTTGTCATCCATTTGCCTCCTGTGTTACTTTTGATGCCATCTATTTTGTGCATTTGTATTATTTATTATGTTTTCGTCTAGGGAAAATTTTTGTTTCCTGTTTATGATTTTATTCAACTCCATAATAAGCTGTCTGTCTGATATAATCCATCAGCCTTTCCTTGAAAACAAAATTGGGGGTAACAAGTTTGTAGTATTCTTTCAACATGCATTATTATTCAACTTTTCTTTAACAGATGTATATATTATTGTTTTCCAGGCTAACAAGGAACAGTTGGTGCAACTGATGTTTGAAACATTCAACATATCAGGGTTTTATGCCTCTGAGCAAGCAGTCTTGTCACTATATGCTGTAGGACGTATCTCTGGATGCACAGTTGATATTGGTCATGGAAAAATAGGTATCCAACTATCCATATCTGAAGGAACAGGAATTCAAGATTTGCTTGCTGTTTGTCAAGTTGTCTAATTTGAATGTGGAGTGTATATGTTATCTCTGTCACATATTCATGTGATACTTGTGCACCAAGGGCTCTATAGGTGACTAGACACCTGTTGTAGTTAAATAGCTATCTTAGAATTTAGTTTAGGGCCTAACTGAATTCCATAAACTAACTTATAAGGTGATGACTGTCCAAACTTTATAAGCTTTACTTAAGCCATATCTTTATTCGTGAGATTAGACCACCATCCTTGAGGCTGCAATTAAGACAACCCCCAAAGAGGCCGCAACTAAGGTAGGCTAGTGGTGATTACAATTAAGGTGACTTTTCAACAATCATTATTGCAATGGAGTAAAATAAAAATAATATTAAGTTGCTTTATCATGTGTTGGTAATAAAAAAAATTACCAGAGACTTTGCCATCAGCCCTTGTAAGTGTAAAAGAGTCAAAAGGATGACTTAAAATTAGACTGCTTGCAATTGTATATTCATTTTACCTTGCCTATTCTACATGCCATCTTCTTTCAATATTATATATATATATATGTGTGTGTGTGTTGTTATCTACATAGCTAACTGAAAAGATTGGATGATGCAACCTAGATTGGATGATGTGCACAACTTGATCTATTTGGCTTGCTTAATCAGATATTGCACCAGTGATTGAGGGTGCTGTTAACCACATTGCCTCAAGAAGATTTGAGTTTGGAGGTGTTGATCTAACTAATTTCCTGGCTCAAGAACTTGGCAAATCCAATCCGCTAGTTAATATCAACGTCTATGATGTTGAGAAAATAAAACAACTATACTCATGTTGTGCTGAAGATGAATTAGCTTATCAGAAGACTCGAGATTCTTGCCCTATGGAGACACATACTCTTCCAGATGGGCAGGTATGCCTCTTAGTTCCTCTAGCTAACAATTATCACTTGAATCTTGCTCATTTACTTGTTCCTAATGTTATATTCAAGTTTGTTTTAATGTAGATCTGACAATCTAAGTGTGAATTAACACTAGTCAAACTAATGGAAAACAAACAAAAACGAAAGGGAGAGTGAGTTGAAGAATTGGTAAGGAGAGCCTGGGGCTTACTTTAGATTGTTGTTCACTTGTTCTTAAATCTTAATTTAAGCAAAGCTTACGAGCAAAAGGGAGAAGGTGACTGACATTTGTTACCTTGGAGTACATTCTATTTTAATTCCATAACAATGTCAAATTTGATCTGGCTGGTCGCGAAGAGTTTTCTTTCATTGTGATGTTCATGAACTGGATATTTTCTTGAACCCTTATTCATGTTCTCTTCAAGCTTTGCACCAGAAAGAATATTTTCCAATAGAAGGCAATGTAGTAGTACTTTTCGTATATGGTATTGAAGCTAGCTAGGTTGTCAGTATAGGAGGCTTTAGAATACAAGGCCATATTATGTTCGACTATTAGAGTATAAACTTTTACTCTTTGTTTCTTTCTTCTTTCTTTGAGTATTTGTAAATATTGCTACTGTTGTAGTTAGTTGGTTGGCTGTTTGAGTTTGTTAGAATCTGTTCTCAATCATCGTTAACAGAGTGACAGGTATGTTGTTTTGTTAGTTAGATTTGTCTCTAACTGATAGGTGTCAAGCTTGTAGAGCAACTTCTATTGTACTCTTTAGCAACTATATAAATAATTGCATCTTCTTGTACCGAGTATTGTGATAATCAATATACTTTCATTTTCTAAAATAGTATTAGAGTCGTCAATGAGATTCACTGAGGCTATCAATCTCTTGAACTTTTCAAGACGTGCTTCATGAGTAAGAAGAATAGTTTCGATTTCATCAATTGACAATGAATGAATCTTGTTGATGAGAGAAATAGAGGACTTGTATTCTTCTAGAAGACCTTCAATGATAATATCAAGGTGTTAATGAATGGAAACAGTGTCACCAATCGCAATTGGTGAATTGATTGATGCTTGAATTTGAAGAAGATAATTAGAGATAGTGTGATTTTCAAGTGACACATTCCAAAGCTCTGATCTAAGTTGTTGCGCTTTCGCATTGGTGTGCGAGTGAAAATAATTGTGAATTTTGTCCCATAGTTTCCAAGATGATTTGCATCCAATAAGCATCTTCTTCAACATAGATGACTGGAGCCAAGACAAGAGAAGTTAATCTTGTTGCTCCCATGCAAGATATTCTTCCGTGACACAATCTTCATTATGATCTTCAACCGATTGATATTTCTGTGGAATTTGATGAGAAAACGTTGCAACTGATGGCCTTTGATCACCGATTTCGCTTGTCGACACCATAGCAAGTAGTTCTTGGAGTCCAATTTCTCCGAAATGGAATGCGAAAATGTTATCACCGATGAAGAATTCATCATAGCAAAGTGCGGAGGAGAGGAAGGAGGAGGAAAAGAAAAGGAGAGAAAAGGCTCATGGGTCGAACCTTGTTATGGATTTCCTCAGTGTCCACTATAGCCATGGTTCTATCCTTCTTGGAACACCACTATCAAAGGTCAAACCCTACCTCCCTCCAGTATATACGACCACCTCAAATCCTTCATCATCACCTCATCTAGCCAGTACACTACCTCCTTAAGCTATGCTCACAAACACTTTACCGTGCAGTAATGGAAACTGGTACCTTGATCTTTGGGGCCCTGCTCCATTTACGACCATGGGAGGATACACTTACTATGTTGCCTTTGTTGATGTGTGTACTAGATTTACTTGGCTATATTTTCTAAAGCAAAAATCTAAAACTATGCATGTCTTCAAATGGTTTCAGCTTCTTGTTGAAAAACAATTTCAAACTCCTATTAAAGCTTTTCAAACTGATTTGGGGTAGGGAGTATAGGCCTTTTTCCAATTATCTCTCTGCACATCATATTCAACACAGGATTATATGTCCTCACACACATCACCAAAATGGTGTTGTTGAGAGAAAGCATAGGCATATTGTCGAAGTTGGCCTTACTCTCTTAGCTCAAGCATCCCCTCCTCTCAAGTTTTGGGGTCATGTTTTTGCTACTAGTGTCTTTCTCATCAATAGACTTCCCACATCTTCTTTACAATTTGATATACCTTATAACAAACTTTTTGGTCAACTTCCTGATTTTAAACAACTTAAAGTTTTTGGCTGTGCTTGCTTTCCTTTTATCAGACCATATAATAGAAGTAAACTTCAATATATCTCAAGAATATGTCTTCTTAGGATATTCTACTACTCAGAGGTTACAAATGTTTGTCTAATGATGGCAAGGTCTATATATCTAGAGATGTTGTGTTTAATGAGCAAAAATTTCCTTATCAATCTCAAATTGCACCTACATCTTATCCACAAGAAACTACATCTGTTTCTGTGCCTCTTACCCTTACTCAAGCCCAAGCTTTTAATCCTTCCTCTTCACCCCTACCAGCCACCACATCTATTCCTCTTATTTCTGACTTTCGGTTTGAAACACATCTCATTCAACACAGATCAAAATACTGTCATTGACCATGTATCATCACACACTTGCTCAACTCGTCTTCCTTCCAACACTCATCCTATGTAGACCAGATCTAAATCTAGAATATCTTGTCCAAAAATACTATTACAACTCTTAAACTCAAATTGAACCAACTTCAACAAATCAAGCCTTAGCCAATCTTGTTTGATTTAATGCTATTAAAGTTGAATATGAAGCCTTGTTAATAAACAATACCTGGACCTTGGTTTCACCACCTTCCAATAGAAATATTATCGGATGCAAATGGGTTTTTAGAGTTAAAGAAAACTCTGATGGTTCTATAAATAAATATAAAGCTAGATTGGTTGCTAAAGGGTTTCATCAAACCCCTGGATCTGACTTTAATGCAACCTTCTCCCCTGTTATTAAACCAGTAACTGTTCGTATTATTTTAACCCTTGCTGTGTCGAATAAATTGGCTGATTAAACAACTTGACATCAATAATGCCTTTCCTAATAGGTTACTTGAAGAACAAGTTTACATGGCTCAACCTCTAGGGTTTGAATCCAATGATAAGAAACTGGTTTGTAGACTCAACAAAGCTATCTATGGTTTAAAACAGGCACCTCGGGCTTGGTTTGATAGACTGAAACAACCTCTTCTACAATTTGGTTTTCAAGGCAGCAAGTTTGATCCATCATTATTTGTCTATTCTGCACATATGATATGACTATTGTTTACATTTTTGTTTATGTGGATGACATAATTATAACTGGCAACAATTGTAGGTTTATTAAGAATCTTATTAATAAACTCAATTTTGTCTTTTCTCTCAAAGATCTTGGAAATCTTGATTACTTTCTTGGAATTGAAGTCAAACGTCGCTTAAATGGCTCTTTGACTCTCACATAGAGTAAATACATTCAAGATCTTCTCAATAGGACCTAAATGCATGATGCAAATCCTATTTCTTCACCCATAGTTGGTGATTGCAAACTTACAAAAATAGGATCAAATTATTTCAATGATCCCACATATTACAAATCTGTTGTTGGTGCTTTGCAGTATGCCTCAATCACTTGCCCTGAAATTGGTTATTCGATGAATAAGGTTTGCCAATTTATGGCTCAACCCCTTGAACAACATTGGCTTGTAGTAAAATGTTTCCTACGATATCTTAAAGGAACAATTTCCTAGGGACTTTGTATAAGTCCTACTCCTCTCAACTCTCCTTTGCTTTTGCAAGCATATTGTGATGCAAATTAGGTTTCTGACCCAAATGATAGGAGAACCACTTCAGGTGTTGCTTTATTTCTTGGGCCTAACCTTGTATATCTTGGTGGTCTAAGAAGCAAATTGTTGTTGCTAGATCAAGTAATGGGGCTGAATACGAAAGCCTAGCTCTTGCCACCTCTTCTTTAGGAACTATGTGTCTCTCATTCTACTCCTCAAGTTCTTTGTGATAACTTGAGCATGATCTCTCTTGCGCACAATCCTATTCTCCATGCTCATACCAAACATATGGAGTTTGACCTATTTTTTGCCCGAGAAAAGGTTCTGAATAAACATCTAGAAGTTCTCTATGTTCCTGCATCTGATCAGTATGTAGATATTCTCACTAAGGCTCTTCCCCCCACTCGGTTTCAGCATTTGAGGTCCAAGCTCAGAGTGATAAATGTGCACAGTGCACACATTTCCCCTTGCCGAGCTTGCTGGGGGGGTATTGGAATATAAACTTTCACTCTGTATTTCTTTCTTCCTTCTTTGTGTATACGTAAATATTCCTACTGTTGTAGTTAGTTGGTTAGCTGTTTGAGTTTGTTAGAATCTGTTCTTAGTCATTGTTAATAGAGTGATGCTGTTTTGTTAGATTTGTTTCTGACTGATGGGTGTCAAGCTTGTAGAGTAGCTTCTATTGTATTCTTTAGCAACCACATAAATAGTTGCATCTTCTTGTATTGAGTATTGTGATAATCAACATACTTTCATTTTCTAAAATGGGCTTATTTATGAACGTTAGAATTAATTGACTAAAGTTGTTTAGCTTCTACTTTAGTTGGTTGAAGTCTGAAACTCTTGCAATTCACTAGTCACAACGTTGTTTACCGGATTATGTCAATAAGAGTATAGGAGATTATCATTGAATAATTTAAATTGAAGATTATTACGTGTCTTAGTGTATTATTTTATATTTAGATTAAAGTAATCAAATATGGATGCATACATTATATCTTTTTTAATAGAGACATGAATGGTTCTAAGAGATTTGTGTTGGAAAGTTGCCTTAATTGTTGTCACCCCTAGCCTATGTTAGCTGCAGCCTTTTTTGGGGGCTGCCTTAATTGTAACCTCAAGGGTGGTGGTTTAGTCGCACATTGACTGAAGATATGTTTGCTTAAGTAAAGCTTATAAAGTTTTGATAGTCTATCTCTTAAGCCGGTTTTGTATGGTTGAATTAAGTTCCAAGCTCAAATTATAAGAATTTGTTGTCATCATATCCATTTTCCGAAGGAAAGATGTGGTGAATGAGACTGGAAACATCTATATATTTTTTTCTTTGAGCAAGTATAGGGAGTTATTGGTTTCTTGTTGAATGTTATGATCATAGAGGTGGTCAGAAAGGCCATGAACCTTTGACCAGGGACTCAGGGAGGGCATGGAATGGTTTAGATGAAAAAGCTGAACCAAATTTAAATAATCTGAAAAAAATTCCCATTCAGATATAAGACATAATAGTTATCCAGTTTATTTTGGTTTGTTTAACTAATTTAACCTATAAGATGTGGATATAGTTACTTTCTAGAGTAGATAATAGTTTGAACCTCATCAATCAACAAAAATGCATTTCAACTTGTTAAAATGCTGTGAAAACACCGTTTCCCATATATGACTATAAAAGTACAGTTGATGTGTTCCATGTAAAGGCTGAATGGCTGAACAAAGACGCAAGGTGGAATAGTAGTGATCGATGGTGATGCAATACAACTCAAGAATGCAAGGATGAACAATAACCCTGCATGGCTCAACGAAATGCAAGCCTGAGCCTAAGCCCATGATGGAAACTTTCAACAGTTGAATTGCAGTGACGAAATCTTTAAATGGTTTGAACAATGGCAGTGGAGGCTTTGAACTATTGAACCGATTGAGGTAGGGTAGGGGCTTCAAACAGTTGAATGTGATGGTGGCACCTTTGAACGTGAACAATTTCTTCAAGCCATTTAGCAGAAGCTTTCTCAGTTCTTACACTCAGAATATGAGAAGAGTTTAAAGTTAGGGGCTATTTGAGTTAAATGTAGGAAGATATGTTTTTTGAAATATTAAACTGAATTGTGTGGTTAACTGATAGAGACCGGAATGAGGAGTCTAACCTTCAATATCAATAAGTATTATTGAATGAAAATTGAGAAACAAAGAGCATAAGTGCAAATACAAGTCAATAACCTGGGCAACAGCTCATCAGAAAATAAATTCTCTTTTCGCAAGCAAATGAGCGACACAAATAAATCCCTCTGTCTCTATGTACATACCCCCTTGTCATGCTATTCATGTGAACACCACCTCTAACTAACTACCCCCCTCCCTGCCCAGCCTATTCTAGAATAAACTCTCAATAGAGCAGGTCTTTCTTGTTGCTGCCCTACCAAAAATCCCTCCTTGTCCATGTCAGACTTTGAACTATGGGCTATATCATTAACTGTGGATAATTGAATTGAATCATTTCATTGCAAAAGAAGAGCTGGAATGATATGAAATTGGTGTGCCACATACAGTCTTTTTTGGTTCAGTTTAGCAATTTGGTTGTTTCTGGTGTATTTTGCCCCCTGTAGTACCTATGACTGCAATACTGGTTATTAATTCGCTACCTCAAGTGTGTTCTCTCTCATTCTTTGGACCCTCTATATTTTATGACTGGATCTAACCATAATTTTTGAATTATGTGTAGGTCATAACAATTGGAAGAGAAAGATATACAATTGGCGAAGCTTTATTCCAGCCATGTCTATTGGGTTTAGAGGCTCATGGCATTGTTGAGCAGCTTGTTCGTACTATTTCAACTGTGTCATCTGATAATCATCGGCAACTTCTTGAAAATACTGTGGTTTGTGGTGGCGCTTCTTCTATGACTGGTAAACCATTATTTCATTAGTTCTGGTGAATCTAATTTATGGAATCCTATGTTTTTTCATTAATTGGAGTGCATAGAACTCAATATTGGGTTATTATATTTCCTATTTCTTGGATATAAACTAACGAGGCTTTTAACATGAGCAAATTTTTTGATGTTGATAACATGCCCAATCCTAGTTAATGTCATAGAAATAGAAATGGTTCACGGGAGGGGAAGGACAATTAGTAACTAACTAACTAACTGTGTCATCAATTGTAAATTGTAGAAAAGGGTAGAAAGCCAATAATATGCTATATAATATAGCGGATAGTGTTTCAGACAAATAGTGGAAGTTGCATAGCAGTTAAAATAGATGACAAATCAGTTATATATGTATACAAATGTTAGTTGTGTGCAAATAAAAATAAAATGCATAAAAATTGGCATAATATTAACTCAAAAGTTCAATTATTTGGAGACTCGATGAAGATGACTGTAAGATACTTAGATACATGTTGCAAACATGATACCATAGAGGCCACTTCAACGAATAGAGTCATGATTGCAGATTCAAGAAATACCGCACTTGAATAATGCAAGAGAGAATTTTTGGGAAAAATCAGTGAGTTACTTCTGTACTGATCTATATATAATAATAATAATAATAATAATAATAATAATAATAATAATAATAATGATAATAATAATAATACTAATAATAATAATGATAATAATAATGATAATAATAATAATAATAATAATAATAATAATAATAAGCAAAAGTAACCAAATGCAAAGAGGGGCTAAAATCCTGACATCACATAGCATCATAGTAGGCTATATATTAGAAAGAAAAATAAAATACAATATAAAAAGGCTTCCTTAATAGGGTATTTCAACACTCCTCAAGTTAGAGCATTCAAATTGTATGCATCAAGCTTAGAACATAAAAACTGGATCCAAGGTCCCCTCGAAATATACATTGGACTGGACTTACTTCAAGAAACCGACATGCTTGGATGCAGGGCAGCCAATACTCCCATTGAACCGGAAAAGAGAAGTGAAGAAGAAAGTCCACCAACTGATAAAGATAGATATCAAAGCCTAGTTGGGAAGCTAATCTACCTAACTCACACTAGGCCCGACATTGGTTTTGCTGTGAGCTTAGCTAGTCGCTATACATCTAATCCAACTAAGGCCCACATGAAAACGGCAAACAGAATCCTCCAATATCTCAAAGGTACACCAGGTCGAGGGCTCTACTTCAAAAAGAACTCAAACAGAAGCATTGAAGTCTACACTAACTCAGATTGGGCGGGATGCCCCTCTGACAGAAAATCAACTACAGGCTATTGCTTCTTTGTGTGGGGAAACCTGGTGACTTGGAGAAGTAAGAAGCAACCTGTGGTGGCAAGGAGTAGTGCAGAAGTTGAATTCAGAGCTCGCCGAAAGAAAGAATAGACATCTCCTAGAAGTGACCAGATCTCTCATGTTAGCTACAAATGTACCCAACCAATTTTGGGGAGAAGCTGTCCTCTCTGCAACCTACCTTATAAACAGAATGCCCTCCCGAATCCTCAACTTTAACACCCCTTATTCTACTCTCCAAACCTCATACCCTACGAGTCGTATCCTTACATCTATTCCTTTGGAAAATATTCGGATGTTCAGCCTTCATCCACAACCTCAATCCTCGTCGCAACAAACTTGACCCGAAATCCATCAAATGCATCTTTCTCGGCTACTCCCCCACCAAAAGGGGTACAAATGCTATTCACCCCAAAACAGGAAATTCTACCACACCATGGATGTCACCTTTTTTGAGAATCAACCTTATTACCCAAAAGTTGGCATTCAAGGGGAGCAGACTTATCCAATTGAAGTGGTAGAATCCCAACTTTTGGGATTTGAGCTAGCTGAATCTGTCCCAAATACAGAGCCAACCAATATTGCACCTACACAAGAGGAAATTACAATAGAAAATGCAGAAAACGCAACAGAATTTGCCCAAAATGTAGAACCAGCCGAGATTGCACCTGTAGTAGAAACTGAACAGGAAAATGCAGTAGAAATTGCACCAGCTGAAGCTAGAGAGAGAATTGCATCTCAACAGAATCAAAGCCCAGCCACACAAGGAGACAACTGGACGACATACTTCAGGAAGAGAAGGAAGATAGTAGAGTCCAGCACAGATCCAAGGCAAAGCCATGAATCCAACCAAACTCCAGAAAATGAGTTTTCCCAAGGTAATATCGTTCCTAATCCTAAACCTATTGATGACATTGACATTCCTATTGCCTTAAGAAAAGGGGTGATATCTTGCACTCAACACCCCATTGAGAAATATGTGTCCTATGGAAAATTGTCACAGGGGTGTAGGTCTTTTGTGGCAGCTCTTGACAGCAAAAATATCCCAAGGAATGTTCAAGAAGCACTCCAACAACCTGAATGGGCAGCAGCTGTAATAGAAGAAGTCCAAGCCTTGGTTAAAAATGGCACGTGGGAAATCACCACTCTACCGGAAGGAAAGAAATCGATTGGATGCAAGTGGATATTCTCCATCAAATACAATGCCGATGGTAGTATAAACCGGTACAAAGCTCGACTGGTGGCCAAAGGGTTTACCCAATCATATGGAGTGGACTACGAAGAGACTTTTGCAACGGTGGCCAAACTAAATTCAATTCGAGTCATACTCTCTTTAGCTGCAAATTTAGATTGGCCACTCCATCAACTAGACATCAAGAATGCCTTTCGAAACGGTGAACTTGAAGAAGAAGTCTATATGCAAATTCCCCCGGGACTTGAGTCATCCAGAACCTCAAGCATGGTGTGCAAGCTCCGAAAATCTCTATATAGCCTTAAACAATCTCCGAGAGCGTGGTTTGATAGATTGACTCGAGTTGTCAAGGAAGACGGGTTCAACCAATGCCAATCAGATCACACTATGTTTGTCAAACACTCCGTGGAAGGGAAGGTAGCCTTGTTCATTGTTTATGTTGACGATATCGTTATCACAGGAAACGATTATGATCAAATCAAGCATCTGAAGGGAATTTTGGCCAAGGAATTTGAAGTCAAGGACTTGGGTCAGCTCAAATATTTTCTAGGGATGGAAATTGCTCGAACAAAGAATGGTATTTATGTATCACAAAGGAAATATACGTTGGACTTACTTCAAGAAACTAGCATGCTTGGATGCAAGGCAGCCAATACTCCCATTGAACCGGAAAAGAGAAGTGAAGAAGAAAGTCCACCAACTGATAAAGATAGATATCAAAGCCTAGTTGGGAAGCTAATCTACCCAACTCAAACTAGGCCCGACATTGGTTTTGCTGTGAGCTTAGCTAGTCGTTATACATCTAATCCAATTGAGGCCCACATGAAAAAAGTGAACAGAATCCTCCAATATCTAAAAGGTACACCAGGTCGAGGGCTTTACTTCAAAAAGAACTCAAACAGAGGCATTGAAGTCTATATTGACTCGGATTGGGCAGGATGCCCCTCTGATAGGAAATCAACTACAGACTATTGCTCCTTTGTGTGCGGAAACATGGTGACTTGGAGAAGTAAGAAGCAACCTGGGTAGCAAGGAGTAGTGCAGAAGCTGAATTCAAAGCTATAGCTCAAGGTATCTGTGAAGGAATCTGGCTTAAGAGGATGCTGGATGAAATCAGAATTCCCATCAATTACACTATGAGGATATTATGTGACAACAAAGCTGCCATAAGCATTGCGAAGAACCTAGTCCACCATGATAGGACAAAGCACGTGGAGATTGACCGACACTTCATTAAAGAAAAAATTGACCACGATATTATAAGTGTTGACCATGTTCCATCATGCAGACAAACAGCAGACATCCTAACAAAGGCTCTTCCAAGGAACACGTATGAAAACATTAGATCCAATCTGGGTATGATAGACATCTACCACCCAGATTGAGGGGGAGTGTTGGAGATCAGCGCATATCAATATCAGAATTTATTTTTTATTTATTAATTATTATAAATACATAAATTCATATATCATATAGGCCAATATATCTTACGAGCATTACAATTACCAAAAGGATTGGAACAATTGATATATGAAGTTCCATCTGCCACTAGACAAAGTCTTATTTCTTGAAGATATTGGACATTATTTAAATCATTATAACAAGAAAGTTGGGGATGACTTTTAGTAACTCCATATATTGTATTGACAATGGATTTTGGAACATAATTGTTGATTTTGCTTGGGGTAATATTTGCATTTGCAAGAATGACCTTTAGATTACTCCTTCCTTTGATATTTAGTGCTAGTCGAAAATAATCAAGTTGTGAAATATTATTTTCAGAACATGTTCCATGCTTTTGCCACTCATGATTCCAAAATTTATAATTATTCCCAGATTAACACAAAAATACTGCAAAAAAAATGCCACCAATATTTATTGGACAAATTTAATAAGATGAAATTAAACATTTTATTTTAAAAAATTTGGCTCCATATATAAGATAAACTCCAAATTTGGAGAACGGGTGATAGTAGGCAGGATTCAATAATGCAATGTCCACTCCAAATTTGAAAAAAAGGATGAAAGTAAATAAGATTTGGAATGAGATGATCCCATCCTTTTCCATCACCTCTGCCATTCCTCACTTTTATAAACTAAACAGAATTTTTTTTTCTATTAGCCAAGCAATTTTATTGAGGTATCCTAATCAATAGGGTACCAAACCTGAATTGCCAACCAAGCCAAAGCCACAAAGAATTGATGTACCCAATTCGCCTTAAGTATGAAGATTTAGCATTTTGGATCAACTTTATTGACTTAATTGAGATCCATTACTGCGTTTAGTCAACATTAAAAGTTAGTTAGGGAACATGGCTCTGTAGGATAATGCTTTGGACTGACGGCGGCCCCAGAAACTATTGGATTAAAAATATTCAATACCATATTTTCATTGCAGGCTTGTTGGTTTTGCTTCTAATTTTTGTTTGAATGATTTAACGTTATGTTTGATTAATTTAAAAGTAAAATTTAATTTATTTGTAATCGATTTTTAATATTTTTTCATTGATTTATAGAGTTCAAATAGTGAGTTTATAGAGCAAGGATATTTTGATATGTATTGAGAGTACGAATAAAGGTATATTGACTACAAGAATGTTTCGATTTAGAATCGACTAAAAGCTGACTTTAAATCATAAAAATCGACGTAATATTGTCGATTTTTAGCTGAATCTAAATAATTCGACACAACTTTTTTTGTATCGACTAAGCTGCCACTAACAAATTTATTTATTTTAATTTTTTATTGTCGATTAAGCCAACACTATGTTGACACAAAATTTATTTTATTTTTTTCTTTATCTTCTTTTTCCAGCTTATCATCGATCCGTGAACCTTGAGGTTTTAAGTGAACTTGATAACCAAGTGTACCATGACACATTATGCGTATATAACATTGAAAAAATTATCTTTATTTCTTTCAAAGCACTTATACCTTCAGAAAAGCCGACACTATTTTAAGATGTAGCGTCGGCTTTTTCAACACTAAATTTAAATTAAGTTTAGTGTCGGAAAAGCCGACGCTATTCTTTAAATATAGCGTCGGCTTTTTCGACTCAAATTTAATTAAATTAGTGTCGGAAAAGTCGATGCTATAATTAAAATAGCGTCAGCTTTTCTAACACTATTTACGTCGGCTATTAACCGACGCTTATTTTTCGCCGCTTATTCATCGTTTTCTTGTAGTGATTGTGACACCCTTACTATATCAACACATATATTGTAATAATGTAAATAGATTAAGGAAATAAAATTTTCAACATAGGTAAAAGGGTTCACATAAAAACCCTCATAAATATTCTTCAATATCCAAGATAAATAAAAAAATTAGAAATTGAAACATAAGAGTTTACAAATTATTTTTAAAATAATAAGTACAACTCCAAATCCATATAAAAATTCATGTCCTAGAAATCCTCTGCCTCGATGTCACAATATCAGAGCATACCCATAATTCAATCGTTGGCATTCTATATGTCACTCATAGACGGATCTTCCTCACCTAAAACATCCACAATTGCACGGTGAGAAAAGAAAACATCTATATGTAAAGCACACAAGGAAAACCCATCACATAATCTCATCATAACTCATTACTTAATGAAATATTCACAAGCATTTTTACATATCATAGTTCTATCAATCATGCACCACTTCACATCACAATTTCACAATCATACCAATCCACCACAAATCTTACAATTAACACTATGCCAAAACCATGTCACAACTGACATAAGTGATACGGGTTAATTGCCTCACTCATTCCACACTATGCTAGGGGCACGCCGTCTTTGTAGCATCACTTACCCAAGGGTCATCACATCACATCACTGGTCATTAGTGTGAGGAACCACAATCACATCGCAATCCACACAAATCTTACATCTAACCCTATGCCCAAGGCCACATCACAACTGACATAAGTGATACGTGTTAATTGCCTCATTCATCCCAAACTATGCCAAGGGCACCCCATACCCGTAGCATCACTTACCTAGGGGTCGTCTCATCCCTGGTCATATGTGTGAGGAACCAAAATCATATCACATTCATATTCAATACAACATCCCATCTCATAACTCAAATTCCATATTACATACAGATAAGTCTACACAATACAATGATTTACATACCCCTCAAGCAATTCACCATGATTACACATCTATAACAATAATATAACAATAATATTTTTAAATTAATATAAAACCCAATTAATTCACCAATTTAATACAATATTAAATCAAATAATAAAAAACCCCCAATTTTTCCAAAACCTAACTCACAGACACTTTTCTACAATTTTGTTCTCTCTCCCAGATCATCATTCCCTCTTGTAACTCTGCATACAAATAATCCCTTTTTTCCCTGTACCTTGATAAGTAGTAGCTAAAACTAAACCAGAGATCTCCTTGGTCTCCTCCTCTGAGTGCTCCTCGGTCTTCAAAGAGTGTAGAAGGAAAAGAAGAGAATGTAGAAGAAAGAAGTCAGAACTGAAAGAAGTCAGAACCAAAAAGTATGATTTTTGGGAGTGTTAGAGCGCTCTATTCATAGATTTCAAGAGTGGCAGAACGACCCGTTTCAAATCCGGAACGGCCCGCTCTCGACTGACACCCTCAAAGATTTAGTCATAAGATATGCAAGTTGATCACTAGAGGTGATAAATTCAATAACAATCTCCTTGGACAACAACTTCTATCTAACAAAATGGAAATCAATCTTTGTGTTTAGTTCTCTCGTGAAATATTGGATTGTTGGCAATGGGAAGGGCAACTTGATTATCACAATACTACTTCATTGGTTGAACTTCACAAAATTTTAACTTGTGATGAAGTTGTTTAATACATACAAGTTCACAGGTAACCAAAGCTATTGATCGATATTCTGCTTTAGCACTAGATTGAGCAACAACATTCTATTTCTTAATTTTCCAAGAGATGAGATTTACATCAATGAATACACGATATTCAATAGTAGAACGTCAATCTATGGGACATCTTGCCCAATCAGCATCACAATACCCAAGCACTTAGCTGTCTCCTTTGTCCTCATACAATAATCTTTGTCCCGGAGCCTTTTTGATGTATCTAGGAATGCATACAACAACATCCCAATGATCAATTTGGGGAGCATGCATGAATTGACCAACAATTCCTATTGCAAAAGAAAGATCAGGTCTTGTAATTGTAAGATAAATAAGTTTATCAATCAATCTCCTATATCTCTCCAGGCTTGTGAAGGGTTCACCTTGACTAGCCATTTGCTTCAAATTAGTATCCTTAAGATTGTCAATGGGCCTACAATTAGTCAAGCCTGTTTCCTCTAAGATGTAGAGCATATTCCCTTTGTGAAATGACAATGCCTTCCTTCAATTGGGCTACCTTAATACCCAAAAAGTATTTTACATAGCCAAGATCTTTTGTTTAAAAATGAGTAAATATGCATTTCTTCAGCTATGAAATATTAGCTGCATCGTTCCCTGTAATTACCGTGTTATCAATCTAAACAATCAAATAAATACACTTTCCAGGAGATGTATAACAATGGAAAATTGAATGGTCTGCTTCACTTCTCTTCAACCCAAATTCTTGCACCACATTACTCAATTTTCTAAACCAAGCTCATAGAGATTGTTTAAGACTATAAAGAGACATCTTTAGCTTGCAAACTAAACCAGACTCTCCCTGAGCAACAAACTCAGGGGGCCATGTAGATCTCCTCCTCCAACTCACCATGGAGAAAAGCATTTTAAATGTCAAATTGGTGGAGAGGCCAGTGGCGAATAGCTACCATGGCAAGAAAGAGCCAAACTATAGAGATTTTGGCCACGTGAGAGAAGGTATCAACATAATCAAGACCTTAAAATTGAGTGTATCCCTTAGCCACCAACCTAGCCTTGAGTCAATCAAGTGCACTATAAGGGCCAACTTTAATGGCATAGACCTATCTACATTCAATTGGTGTTTTTCTAGGAGGAAGAGGAACTAATTCCTATATTCCACTACGCTCAAGAGCTTGCATCTCAACAATTATGGCTTGTCCCCATCCAAGATGATTAAGTACCTCGTGAATATTTGTAGGAATAGTAAGAGTAAATATAGATGAGACAAAGGAGAAATACAAAGGGGATAACCTATAATAACTCAAAACACTATAAATAGGATGAACTTTTTGAGTAGACTAAATACCTTTTTGAAGAGTAGGAGCCCAATTAGAGTTATCATCACTAGGATTTGTAGTAGGAGGGTCTGATGGTGAAAGACATGAATCTAGTGACTCTTCAAGGGACGTTGGATCGGTGTGTTGTTTACGTTGCTGATATGTAATAAGAGTAGGTAAAGTATATCAAATTGGGAGTGACATGGGTTGAAATTTGAGATGGTATGGAAAGATGAGAAGAAATAGGTAGAACTTGTATTGATATAGAATCCCTTGTGGAGAATGAGAAAAATGGAGTCTCTTCAAAGAAGGTGACATACATGTAGTATATTTTGGTCCTTGGGGAGTAACACTTGTAACCTTTTCGAAGACAAGAATATCCCAATGGCTCTAGTAGATTGCTTATCTAGTCTAGGAGAAAGAAACATCATGGACAAAACATGTACACCCAAAGACTCGAGGTGAGGTGTATGCAATTTCCACAAGGTGCCTTTTTTTTTTGCTAATCCTTTTTTTGGACCAACACACGCTTGATAGAACAGAGAAAGAGAACGTGTGGGAGTGTGTCGTAACTCCGATGACTTTGATGTTTGCAAGGATAGATTGTGCTTGATGAGCGCACCAAACCCTAGGTTTGTTGGAGAAAAGGGTCGGTGGCGAATGGTGACGAACTATGATATATAAGCAGAGCGGGATTGTACGTGCTCTGCTACCAACTTGAATATTGCGAGAGAGAATTTTAGGGAAAAGTCAGTGAGTTACTTCTCTATTGATAGCTTAGCTAGTCGTTATACATCTAATCCAATTGAGGCCCACATGAAAAAAGTGAACAGAATCCTCCAATATCTAAAAGGTACACCAGGTCGAGGGCTTTACTTCAAAAAGAACTCAAACAGAGGCATACTTGACCCGAAATCCATCAAATGCATCTTCCTCGACTACTCCCCCCACCAAAAGTGATTCAAATGCTATTCACCCCAAACCAAGAAATTTTACCACACCATGGATGTCACTTCTTTTGAGAATCAACCTTATTACCCCAAAGTTGGCATTCAGGGGGAGCAGACTTATTCAATTGAAGTGGTAGAATCCCAATTTTTGGGATTTGAGCTAGCTGAATCTGCCCCAAATACAGAGCCAGCCAATACTGTACTTGCACAAGAGGAAACTGCAGTAGAAAATACAAAAAATGCAGCAGAATTTTTGGGATTTGAGCTAGTTGAATCTGCCCCAAATGTAGAGCCAATCGAGAATGCACCTACAAGTTTAGGGTATAGGGTAGTAGAAAATGCAAAAAAGATAGCAAAAATTGAATAGGAAAATGCAGTAGAAATTGCACCAACTAAAGATAGAGAGAGGATTGCATCTCAACAAAATCAAGGCTCGGCTACACAAGGAGACAATTGAACGATGTACTTCAGGAAGAGAAGGAAAGGAGTAGAGTCTAGCACAGATCCAAGGCAAGTCCATGAATCCAACCAGGCTCCAGAAAATGAGTTTTCCTTAGGTAATATCGTTCCTAATCCTAAACCTATTGATGACATTGACATTCCTATTGTCTTAAGAAAAAGGGTGAGATCTTGCACTCAACACCCCATTGAGAAATGTGTCCTATGAAAAATTGTCACAAGGGTATAGGTCTTTTGTCGCAGCTCTTGATAGCACAAATATCCCAAGGAATTTTCAAGAGACACTCCAACAACCTGAATGGGCAACAATTATAATAGAAGTCTAGCCTTGGTTAAAAATGGCACGTGGGAAATCACCACTCTACTGGAAGGGAAGAAATCGATTGGATGCAAGTGGATATTCTCTATCAAATACAATGTCAATAGTAGTATAAACCGGTAAGCTCGACTGGTGGCAAAAGGGTTTACCCAATCATATGGAGTGGACTACAAAGAGACTTTTGCAACACTGGCCAAACTCAATTCAATTCGAGTCATACTCACTTTAGCTGTAAATTTAGATTGGCCACTCTATCAACTAAACATCAAGAATGCCTTCCTAAACGGTGAACTAGAAGAAGAAGTCTATATGCAAATTCGCCCGAGACTTGAGTCATCGAGAACCTCAAGCATGGTGTTTATGTATCACAAAAGAAATATACATTGGACTGGACTTACTTCAAGAAACCGACATGCTTGGATGCAGGGCAGCCAATACTCCCATTGAACCGGAAAAGAGAAGTGAAGAAGAAAGTCCACCAACTGATAAAGATAGATATCAAAGCCTAGTTGGGAAGCTAATCTACCCAACTCAAACTAGGCCCGACATTGGTTTTGCTGTGAGCTTAGCTAGTCGTTATACATCTAATCCAATTGAGGCCCACATGAAAAAAGTGAACAGAATCTTCCAATATCTAAAAGGTACACCAGGTCGAGGGCTTTACTTCAAAAAGAACTCAAACAGAGGCATTGAAGTCTATATTGACTCGGATTGGGCAGGATGCCCCTCTGATAGGAAATCAAATATATATATATATATATATATATATATATAAATATAAAGGTGGGGTCTGTTTACATTATGGAGTAAGTCTACCTCAATAACTCATGTTCTAAATCAAATTTTAATGATCAAACTGTTGAATTTTAAGTTCTTAATATAGATTACGTCTGTAAATTTTTAAAAAATTTGAAAATCATTTGATACTTCGTTTCATAATTCAAATAAACAAATAAAATGATTTTATGATTTTGTCAATTTGAATTAATGAAATAAAGTATCAAATAATTTTCAAATTTTTTAAAAAATTGTAGACATGATCTATGCATTAAGAACTTTAAATTCAACGGTTAGATCATTGAAATTTGATGTAAAATATGAGTTATTGAATAAAGTAAGTCAAAGTAGATTTACTCCTGGAGTAAATGGGTCTCTTCTCATATATATATAGACACACACACTAAGCAAAAGTAACCAGATACAATGGGGCTAAAATGTCTATGACATCACATCACAATAGGATATATATGACAAAAAAAAATACAATATAAAGGGGCTTCCTTAATAAGTTAATCTAACAACCGCAATGCAATAGCACTATCGTGCCACTATAGTGGCTATTTAACAACATTGCTAACTTATGTTGTGTAAGACCTATGTTGTGTAAGTCTGTAAGTCATAAATTTATTCAGATTGTTTGTGATCAGATGCAAGTTACTCACAATAATCTAACTTGCCAACGTTGCTTTTTATTGCAGGCTTTGAAGAGAGGTTTCAAAAGGAATCTAGCCTAAGTTCATCTGCTATTCGACCTACCCTAGTAAAGGTAATCTTGTTGTCAAAGTATAGTAAATAATGTAACAGATATGATTCATAGGCATTATATTTATGATGAGGCTTAAATCCATTTTTGATCCTTATAATTTTACAATTGTGCAATTTTGGTTACCAAAATTTTTTTAGTGCAAATTTGGTCCCTCTAGTTTTTAAAATTAAGCAATGTTGGTCCAGTCATGTCATCCAAAATTAATCAGGAAATACTAATGTTCACATGAATGACACTGTTTAACAGTTACTTAGCCTTGTTGGCTTCTATGTAAAGGACATTGCTTTTTACTTCATATATGTTACGTTTATTTTTTATTTCAACTAAAATTTATAATCTATTAAACAACTTTTTAAAATTTTTTGATACTATTATTTTCCTACGTGTCTAAGTAACCACCCGATAGTATCATTTACAAACATGTCACCTTCTTTTGTATAATTTTGGATAACATGTTAATAGATGAATCAACCTTGCTTAATTTTGAAAACTATGGGGGACCAAATTTGTCATAAATATTTTGGAGGACCTAAATTGCACATTCGTGAAATTATAGGGACCAAAAGTAGATTTAAGCCTATTTTAACTTGAATATGTAAATATTGATAGAAATTTTTTCTAGTTCAACCAACAACTATATATATTTTAATTCTAGAAGATTGAATAATCAAGATCAAGATTGGAGTATTCTATTTGATCTAATCTAGTTATTTTGGGCCAGAATCAAATCTCTTTGATTTGATCCCCATTTTATTCACTTTCTATTTTGCATTTCTTATGTAATTATTGAACCCTATCTTTATATGTATCTCTATTATTTATGAAATAATAAGATTGATTCTTCCTCTTCTGTATTTTTTTTTCCCACCCTAGTAGACCCTAAAATCACATGATCAGAACCTCTACTCTGATCCTGCAGAAGTTCACCATGGAAAAAATTACCATGACCGGAACGAAATTCATCTACTATGTCTTTTGAACAATTTCTGGCAGTACTGCAACTGCATCATCCTCGATCGTATTCGATTCTCTATGTGTACCAACTTGCAACTTTTGATTCAAAAGTTGAATGGTAAAATCTATGTTGAGTGGGCTCAATCCTTGAATGTTGGGTTACTTGATAGGAGACATCACTCAACTAGGAAATATCAACTTGTCTCCCAAAATAGAAGTAAAAAAAATTCACTAATCATTGCATGATTGATCAACTCAATGGAGCTTTCTATAGGGAAGCCATACTTATTTCTACAACCATAAAAGATGCGTGGGGCGCCGTTTATGATTTCTACTCTGACTTGAAGAAATCTTCTCGGTTACATGAACTTGAGACTTGGTTGTGGTAGTCCAAACAAGGAGACAAGGTTTCACAACCTTTTACAATCTCATGGTTACTCTTTGGTAGCAGTTTGGACTAGTGTTGGATGATTGGGAACAAATGATTCAACCAAATTCAAGAAAAAAGAAAAGAATGATAGAATTTACATGTTTCTAACAATTCTCAACCAAGAACTGGTCCACTAGATGAAGTTCACAACAAAATTCTAGGTAGAAAATCACTGCCATCAATCTAGGAAGTGTTCTCTAAAGTTAGGAAGGAGGAAACCAAGAGGAAGAACATGCTGCGAAGCTTTGATGGTATGGGCGTTATAGACCTCAAATGACGAAAATGTGGAGCGGAAGTGCAACTCTGAAGTATCTTTGTTCAATAAGGAACAAAAAGAACAGCAAAATAAACTTTTTAACCAAAAAATGTCAATGACTCCATCAATGTTGTCAAATATCCGTTATAACGGAAAAACGTCGCGGTTCAGGTCCAAATCGCCATTCGCCATCCGTTTTATGAAGGTTTATGGCGGTGTCCGCCATTTCCGATATGGCGCCCACCATGGTCATGGTGCCGTGAAGCTTTATGGCGGTCATGACAGTTTTTTTTTTTGTTTGAAAAAACCTATTTTTGGGCTTCGAAACAGGCCCAAATGGAGTGAGCCCTTATGTTTTTGGCTTGTCTCTCTTCTCCCTCATAGTTGCAAAGTTATGCACTTGAAGAGGAGCTCACACAGAATCTGCCCTACACCTTTCTGGTCACCTTCGTTCAACTCCAATCACTGCTCTTTGGTCACCTTTGCGACCGACCATCTGAACTGTGGTGGCCCAACACTTCGGCGAGCAACCATGACGCGCGAACAACACTTACGAAAGTCGAAACCGCCCCTAATCACCTCCATTCACTATCCCTTGGTCCCCTTTCTGGTTAGCGACCTGAATCTTGGAGGCCCAACACTCCGGCGACATAGCCAAACTAGGTTTTTTTTTTCCCGTTTTAATCCTCCTTTTTTTTTTGTTTTCCAGTTTTAATCCTCCTCCTCCTTTTATTTTTTCAGTTTTAATTCTCCTTTTTTTTTTTTTTTTTTCCAGTTTTAATCCTCATTCTTCTTTTAATTTTTCCTACTCCTTTGAGTCCTTTCTTAATGAATTCATTGTTGCATCTGCAGCAAAATTTTTTTAATCCCAATTCTTCTACCAATTGGGTCAATTTAAATTCCTATTTTCTTCTAAATTCTAAACTAACATTGAGTGCCTACCAAGGTTAAAAGGGAGCTAGTGAGGCATGCAGTGACTTGATTTGCATCATCTTTTCTTTCATTGGAAAAGCTTGGTGCATATGATCTATATACACCAGCTTGAGGGGGAGTGTTAGATATAATTTTATCTTATAGTTTTTATCTTATAGTCTTTTTATCTTATGGGCCTAGGCCCACTACTTTGTATTTAAACACATGTTTTGCTTTGCAATACACAAGGAATATGTTCTCTTCATTCACCATCACTCTCAACAGGCTTATTGATGGTGAGAAAAAGCCAGCTATGGGCTATATATATGAAGCTATGGATAAGGCAAAGGAGACTATTATGAAGTCTTTCGATAACAATGAGACCAAATATAAAGCCTTGTTTGAAATTGTTGATAGAAGATGGGATGTTCAGCTTCATCGCCCATTACATGCAGCTGGTCATTTTTTGAATCCAGAGATGTTTTATGACAATCCTCAAATGGAATTTGATAGTGAGATTATAAGAGAGTTTTATGCAAGCATGAATTAGTTGGTAGGAGATTTCCAAGTAGAGCAAAAAATCATGATGGAGCTACACACTTATAAAGTTGCAGGAGAATTGTTTGGGACTGAGCTTGCTATAGCAATGAGAAAAAAGGTTTCACCGGGTTAGAAACTAAACCTTTAAGAGCTTTAAACTTCTATTCTATTAATTGTTCCGTGTTTAACACACTTTCTTTTGACTTTATAGCTCAATGGTGGAGATTATATGGTTCATCAACCCCCAATTTGCAACAACTAGCCATAAGGATATTGAGCTTGACTTGTAGTTCATTCGGTTGTGAACGTAATTGGAGCGTCTTTGAACAAGTAATTAATTTGCTTTTGAAGAGTCTTATTAGTTCCAAATATTTTAAAATGTTTGCTTAATTATTTAACTTAATGTTGCATATTCATAATAAGAGGCGGAATAGGCTTGATCATAAAAAATTACATGACTTGGTCTATGATAAGTATAATCAAGCACTCATGCGAAGATACAACCTTAAGGATGAAGTTGATCCCAATAGCCTTAAGGATATTGATGAATGTAATGAATGGCTGTTTGAAGAGATGGATGGGGATGATGATGATGAAGTTGAAACTCTAGATGAGAGAGTTTTTGGTGGAAATTATCCACTTGGAATCAAGTTTATGATGTTTCAGGGGTTGGAGAGCCTCTAATGTATACTAGGCGTAACAAAAGGAAGCAACCTCCAAGTGGGGAAGGAGCATCATCTCAAAAAGTTTCTAAAAATGGCAAAGCAGTGTCTTCTTCAAATAGGAAAGGAAAAGGAAAAGTGGTTGAAGTTGTTGAAGAAGATTCAGAAGATATTAGTGAGGAATTAAAGGAAGAATTGCCAAATATTAACTTTGCCAATTCAGAAGGTGAAGAAGTTGAAGGCTATGCCCCTTTGGCATTCAATGAAGAGAATGATTACATTGAGGAAGAGGAGGAGAATGATGATGAGGAGGAGAATGATGATGAGGAGGAGGATGATTAGATTAGCAAAATGCTTCTAGTACTATTATTTTTCTATGTTTTTTGTTGTGTTTTAATTAATTATGTTGAGACTTAATGAATTATGGTATTGTTGTTATGATATTTAAGTATTTAAGTTGATATTATGTTGCTTTTAATTTAGTTTTGTTGCTTGTTATTTATTTTGTTGTTTTTTTGTATATAAATAAATAAATATATATATATATATATATATATATTTTGTCCGCCATAGAGTTATAAAGGATTTTCAGCTTCACCGCCATAGACCGTTATCCGCTATTGATAACCTTGGTTGCTAATGGAGATAATGTACCCATTATTAGATTTGGCAGCATTCAACTTTAGTCCTCTATTGTTTTGAATAATGTCTTACATATCCCAAAATTGGCTAATAGTCTTATTTCCATAAAAAAGCTCACTACAAACTTGAATTGTTCAGTAACATTTTATCACTCTCATCATTCTTTTCAAGACTTGGTCACGGGGAAGACGATTTTAATTGCTAAAGTACAAGGTGGGTTATACTTCCTAAAGTAGGAAAGGAATGATGACAAGAACAAGGAATCTACCTCAAGCCACCATGCGAAGGCCAATACTTGGGCCACTTCTCAAATATGGCTTCAACATAAGAAACTTTGACATCCTCCTTTTAGTCTTATTAAATCTATGTTGTTATATTTGCTTTCAAAAATTTCGGTTGAATCATTCAATTATGATTTATGTCAATTATCTAAACACCATTGTTCTTCTTTTCCAATTAGTGGTAATAAGAGCTCTTTCCCATTTGATTTAATTCATTATGATGTGTAGGGACCCGTGGTGGAATCTATCTCTGATGCCAAATGGTTTGTGACATTTATTGATGACTATACACGAGTAACATGGACATACCTAATGAAAAACAAATCTGAGGTTGGTCAAATATTTATCAACTTCTTCCATCTTCTTAAAAATCAATTTGGTAAGTCCATAAAAAGAATAAGATCTGATAATGGTACAGACTATTTAAATCATGATTTGTCTAAATTTATCACTGATAATGGTATTGTACATGAACTTATGTGTGTTAATACCTCTCAAAAAAATGCGGTTGCAAAAAGGAAAAATCGTCATCTCCTAAAAGTTACCAGAGCCTTACTGATGGAGGACCATAAGAGGAGACCACACACTACAAGTTCTCCATCACTTACTCTTCTAAATGTTTGTTCCTAACACTTTTTGGAGAGAAGTTGTCCTAACCTCTACCTATTTCATAAATAGGTTTGATATTATTTTAGGAGATTTGATATAATTTTAGGAGATTTGATATGATCTTTTCTTATTTCTTTTATATTTACTTATTTTCATAGTTACCTGTTTTAGGGAAAAATGTATCTCTATAATAGGGGAAGAGAAGAATGAAATTAGCATGAAACAAATTAATAAAGATCTTCTCTTTCAACTCAAACTGAACCCAAAGACCTAATAAAAGGCCCAAAGAGAAACAAATCTAAAACAGAAAATTGTCTGTCTAAAAATATTTTCTTTTCATTTTTTCTCCTACCCTTTAAGGAACTACTAGTTGTTGCATGTAAAACTTACATATTAGGAAAGAAATGAGCTTATACCCTTGAAATAGATTTGTCCTCTACCAAATTGAGTTTGCCGAGGGCAGCTCTAGTGCATTTGAATTTCCATGTGTCAATAGTGGACCATACATGACGCATAACCTACAGAGTAGGAAATATAACATCAAGCCTAAATATAGGAGGGGGTTGATATTTTTATTTGCATTTATTTTTTCAGAACACGAGAAGAAGAAAAGGATCCTCTAAATTATATGAAACAAAGAGAAAGGCCAATCCAAACCATAATGAAAGATTCCCCTCTGTACTTGTCTCATCTCGAAGCATTGTTCATTAAAGTTGGTATCTTAAGATTGTAATGTAAAAAAATATTCACGAACCTTTTGCTAAAAAGCTTCTTTCAGGAGTGTTGGTCACTGACAAGCTAGCAAAGCTTCTCTGAACCAGTGGTCAGGAATTCAATCCTTACTGTCCCCATTATTCTAAAAGAAGTTTAATTTCAAGACATGGTAGAATAGACCTATGCACTATTCATATTTCGAGTCAGACTTTTAAGTGTGAAGGTGTGCTGTATGCAAAATCCATTCATGAACTATACCTAATTACTTAAGCTTTTAGTTGGTCATTAACAAGACCCCAAAGGCTTGGTTATATTAAATTAGTACAATAATGGTATAGGTAAATAAACAAAACAAAAACCTAAAAAATATCATAGAGGCGTGTCAGGCACCTGGCCTAGAGAAACTTCAAGCAAATGATGGGCTTCTCGAAAAGTAGAGAGGGAAAAGTCATCCCATGCGAGTGTCATTGTCAGAATGGAACCACTTTCCAGCTCATCTAACTCAATCTGTCATGATAAAATTTACAGTTCGAAATGGGAGCAGCAAACAATATTACAACAATGGGATGATAAGAATACATGTATCATGTATGAGGGAAAATAAAGCAAGATACAGTTATCAATTTAGGGTCTGAGTCAATAAATTTCTCCATAAACACTTGGGAGAAGAAAACAAGAAAGAAAATTGAAATTTGCTTCTACATAATGTACAAGTTAAAAAAAAAATGTTTTTGGAGAAGCCACTACAAGAAAGCTTCTACAAGTTGGCTTAAGCATGAGCTAATTTTTTTTAAAAAACTAATTTTATTTTTTTTTTCTTATCTATAAGTGTTTCTGGAGAAATTTATCCAATCAAGTCTTTAGAGTGTGTTTGGATGAGGAATTTTAATGAAGTAATTAAATTTTTTGAAGAATTTCAAATACTTTGAGATAAAATGTTTTGTTTGGATTACAACAAAATTAAAATTCAAGCATCCGTGAAATTTTTAAAAATTGTATAATTTCAAATTTTTCCAAAAACTTGAAATTCTTTTTCTCTTTCTTTTTCTTACTTCCCACTACCCTCTTTCAAACTCGACATAAAAAATAATAATAATTTTTAATTATTAAATATTTAAATTATTTTTAAATTATTAAATATTATCTAATATTAATTTATAAAATTTTTAATACTTAAAATTAGATAATATTTAAATTTCTAAAATTTAATTTTAAAATTTCAATATATATAAATGTGTATATATATACACACATACATTCGTGTCTAAAATAAATTTTACTCATGGAAATCAAATTGTCCTATCTAAACTAGAAATGTAAAATTTAATAAATGTAAATTGACTGGTTCAAACAAAAGATTTAAAGTCAAGGTAATTCAAATTCCTTAATGGTGTGTTTGGATGAGAAATTTTACAAATTCAAGGAATTTTAAATTCTTAGCATTTGAATTACTTTAATTTCAATTTCTATCATTCTTAAAATATTTTGTTTGGATAAGTCAATTCAAATTTCTCACATTTTAAATTGTTGGGTTGGATATGATAATTTGATTCCACCATGGTAAAATTGATTTTAAAAATATATTTATATGTTGATATTTTTAAATTAAATTTTATAAAAATAAATATTAGCTAATTTGTAAATATTTATAATAATTTTAAAAATTAATATTAGATAATATTTAATAATTTTAAAATTATTTTTGAATATTTAATAATTAAAAACATGAAGAAATAAGAGATAAGATAAAATATATAAGTGAAATAAGAAAAGAAAATATAAAGAATTTCAAATTCTTACTTTTTTGAGAGAATTTAAAATTCTACTATTTCAAGGAATTTCACAAATATTTGAATTTCAAATTCCTTATAAATTCTCCATCCAAACAATGTATTTCACCTCATAAAATTTGAAATTCTTCAAATAAATGAATTACTCCATTTACATTCTTCATCCAAACACACTATAAATTTCTAATAAAATTCTTCGTCCAAACACAATATTATATTAAAGTAATAGCAATTAGAGCTCAAACCTTTACCTGAGGGATGAAAAAGCAAAAAGAACCTTCCTGGTGACTCACGTTACCATCCAAAGTCACATCCATAAAACCATAGGCCACTATATCGGTTGAATCAGACGATATGTACCTGTCCATCACCACACACACATTACCTAACACGGCCGTGAATCGAATTCGCACTGAATTGAATTGAGAGACCAAATAGACAGAAAGAGCGAGCGAGAGAGAGAGAGAGAGAGAGAGAGACCTGTTGACGAAAGTGTGGTAGTTTGAAGGAGCGAAGGAAACAGCAGCACCGATGGCGCAAACACCGCGGGTTTCATTGACACAGAGAGATTTGAAGTCAGCGTCGCTGTTCTTGGAAACATAAATGAGAGGGAAGACGGAGGAGGAGTGTGGTTGAGAGCAGAACAAAGCGAAGGCCTTGGGACTCGGAGGGAGCGCCACCTGAAACCTAAGGAACCCCGTGCAAGAAGAAGGCCTCTTCAGCTTCAGCGCTTCCAGAGCCTCGTTCATCTTCTCCAGCGCCTCCTCCAATGTCAGCGCCGGAGAGAGGCTCCGCGTCACGCACTGCTCGAAAACCACTTCCTTCTCCAGAACGTCGTCGTTTAGCGGCACCGGCCCGTTCCACCTCACTCCGCTAACCTTGGTCCGAGTCCGAGTCCACACTCTCCCATGTCCCACTCGCGTTCCCGAACCTTCGCCTCCCATAAACAGAAACATTGCCCCATTCGAGAGCCTCCACCCTCCCAACGCTGACACCGCCAAATTCATCGCTAACGGATAAGAGTACGAGACACCACCAACTCCTCCCTCTCTCTCTCTTACACTCTTATAGCTTTCCAAATACTCGCGTTTCTTGTGATTCGTGAGTCGAATGAAATCACTCGCTCCATATTTAAGTATAACCCAAATTAATTAACTTATGGTTCACATACTTTTCGTAACAAAATCATTTATTGGGTTTTTTTTCTAGGTAATTGATAAAATTTAAGAGCATTAATCTTATTTTAAATTTTTTAATGTACTTTAACAGGTGCTTCAATTCTACCTTCAGAATTTTTCTAAATAAAAAAATCTAAATGGACACGTGATAAGAATTTGATTGAAGGATTATTATATAAGAACAATTCTTATTTCATAAATGACACGTGACACTGTACTAATGATAAAATCTATATCATTATATAAAAGGGGATACAAACGTTTGTAATTATCATTTGATCTTACAGCACTTTCCAAAATTGACTCAAGAGAGCATCCCTATCTGTGAGGATCTTAAACTCAAGTGCCAACTTGTGCCTCAATATGTGTGTGTCAGAAATCAATCCCTAAATTTCAGGAGAATCGCAACAGCTCATTAATTAGAAGGATTGCAGTAAATTATAATATTCTTTATTTCACCCCTGTAATTTTGGGATTCCTAATTAGTAATTACTTTAGATTGTGTTTGGATGAGGTCTTTTAAAAATTCAGAGAATTTGTATTACTTTAATTTTAATTTCCATCATTCATTAAATATTTGGTTTGGATAAATCAATTCAAATTTCTTAAGTTTTAAATTCTTACCTTGGATAGGTAATTTAATTTCCAAAAATTGAAAGGATTAAACTTTAGAGTTTAGAGAATCTGTTCTCCTAGTAATAAAGAGGAAATGAAAATTGGACTATCTTAATGACACTAATGCAAACCCACCACAAAATGATTCCACTTACAGTAGTTAGGATGCTGAAAATTCCATCATCATGGATTGGTTGATTAATTCAATGGATCTCAAAATCGAACCTTTTTTGCAAGACTGTCTATGAAATATGGACAACAGTCCAAGAGATGTCCTTAGATCTCCAAAATTCTTCACAATACTTGAAAATAAGGTTTGTCGTATGCAATACTCAACAAGCTATCAAATTTGTCACTGATTACTTCAATAAATTGACCAAAATATGGCCAAAAAAGGATCAACTCTAAGTAGTTCATTGGAAATATTCTGAAAATAAAAAATACTGTATGATCAAATTTTAGAAAAGGGAGGAGTTTTATATTTTCTTGAGGGACTTAACAAAGAGTTGGATGAAGTTTGGGGACAAATCATTTGCATTAAATCACTACCATCACTAAAATAAGCATTTGCAATGGTTCGAAAGAGAAGAAAGATGAAGAAAGGTAATGTTGGATTTTAGTCCAGCCACTGAAGACAACATAAACCATACATGCCCTATATGATGGTTGTTAATGGATGTGTGAAGAAATAAATGTTAACATGGATGTGAGCCACACAACTGACACAAGAAATCACAAGATACAAAATGATGGTATATGAGGAAATATTGATGTGGCACCGATTTAGGAAAAGATTAAAAATTGGTTACCATGGTTTTTAAACATACAAAGGTCACTTGAAGCACCACCGAGGAGAGTCCATTGCATGGTTTCTAGTCCTGTGAAAAGGGGAAGGGAGACCCAAATGCCCCTTTGGTAGGAGTCTCATAGTGAATAATATTGCTAAGTATTAGGTCTTTAACCCAGTCCAATGGCATTTTGTGATTCATTAAGTCAACTTCACTCGGTGGGATGAGGATTTGTTGCTTACTTGCTTTATGTTGAGAAATAGGCATCACCCAATCATGTATAAATTGATAGAAGTGAGCATTAATTATGTTGTGAAAGGAGAAATCTTGTGCTTATATTTTCTAGATGTGTTTACATATAACATCCTTCATTATTACCATCATCGTCATAACCTCGGTTGCTACAAAATATCACAATGTTTTTGGCCATTTGTCAACGATAATGATATCAATGCAACCATGTAGCACCGACACATGCTAGTGGTGAACTAATATCATCACAACAATAAATCACCATTGTAAGTTCACACCCCACAAACAACAGATGGCAATGTATTGTCACAGCACAAATGTGCCAAGTGGATGTAAACATTCTTGAGATTACAAAAACAAAATATTAAATTTCAGTCACTTAGGACCTTGTGTCTTGAAAGTCCCAGACAACAAAAAGCCTTTAAGGGCTTTAGCTTATAGCATGGTATTTATAGTGATAATGTATGAAAAACATTTTAAACAAAAATGTGAATGATATAATTAAGGACATAAGAATGCTTACAAGCTCATCCTTAGGAGCTACATAAGGGACCATCTCCTCAAGTTCAAGTTCAGCAATAGCAAGTTCCTCCCTAGCTTTTACAAGTTTTTGTTGTTGAGTTTCTTCCTGCCTCCTCAACTCTTCCATTTCTGTGTACTTACCCCGTAATTCCACATCCTACAAAGTGATAACAATGAATTAAAATCACACATAACTCTAAATTATCCAACAGGATACAAGATAAACCCACAAGCACAATACCAGAAAAATTGAGTTTTCACTGTCATAGTGCCAAATAACATCACAAGAGAAGAAAATGCATGGATGAAAAGGAAGACATTTTACTTTTCATTAAATTATTAAAAAAAAAAAGGGTACAACAAGTAAATAGGGAAAATTTACCAATTTGTTCTCCTCCTCCATAAGTTCCATTCGCTTCTTGGCATTATCATTTATATGGCTGCTAACCTTTTTGCATTTTGCATCTAATGCAGCCTTCTCTTCCTTTTGTTTCCTGCTATGCCATGAAGAATAAGATAGATTTATAATTTCTAAAAAAGAATAAGAAATATTATAGATTTATAATTTCTAAAAAAGAATAAGAAATATTTTCTTTTCTTGGCTAGAGTTTTTTTCCATGAAATTATGTTAGTTTCAAAAGTTATGTTTTTAATATCACATATTTATTTTGTAGTGTTTAACTCTGTTGTATTAACTAAAATTTGGAAAATGGTGAAAAAATAATTGTTATCTAAAAAATTAGAAAGGTAATATAATAATATGGTTGTGAAAATATTTTTTATGTGTCAATTTAATATATATAAAAATATAATTTTAACATTTCTTCATTTAAATCAATTCTAACTCATATTTTTCTCAATATTAAGACACTTGAAAATGCAAGATTGAGTAATACCTATTATATTGACAACTTTCATGCAAAATAAAATATCTCTATTTTTTAGGTTATGGTTATTTCTTTCATAAAATAAAATAAATTACATGAAATTTTAAATATCTCATATTGATACATGACATTGTATTATTTATTTTTGTAGCTTTTTAAAGTCAAAGAAATTATGGATGATGTATTATATAAAGAATTGAAATTTATTATTGAAAAGTATGACATTATTCAATTTAATTATTTATTAATTCTGATATATGTTTTAGTTATGTTAATGTTAACTAAAAGTAATAGCAGAATGACATTTAATTTCTATCATAAATTGCAAGGAACATAAAAATCGTCATGAAGTGGAATCTTTATTTGGTATTCCTATTAAGAAAATTTTATGATAGTAAAACATCATATTGTGTAAAATTATTTATATAATTATATGCCAACAAATGAATTCATTCCATATATGAGTTATTTTAAATTTTAAGATGATACATATATAGAGGCACGAAGTGCCTCGGCCCCACTAGTTTATAATAAATGTGATAGCATCTAGTCTACATGCTCATATTTATAATAATAATTATAATTTTAAATTATGATTGCGGACATAATGATTGCTCCGATGCCGAATTGTAACTATTACAGTATAATATGAAGCATTCTAATTTCCCTAAACCACTTAACCTATAACATGTTGGACTCAACCAAAGAGCAAAAACTCAGGATTTGCTGTGAATCAATATAGAAGCATTCTAGAGGATAAAATTTTCAGAAATCGATTAATAGTTGATATGCTGTGACTTCTAAATAAGTGAAAATCAACCATAGTGCATGCACGCCAGAGAGAACATGTGATTAGCTTCAATTTGGTATAAAGTATATGGTCTATTTAAGGGGAATTCCCTAATAAATGATATCTCAAACGATGGGGAGAGGAGATTACAGGTATATCCTATTTGACCTTAAACATCCGACTAGTTGCACTATATGTAGAGGGATTGAGAAGCTTCACTTTATTGATGTTTTTGCTTAATCCCTTTTTCATGATAGAACCCTTATCTCTAATTTCCTCGTAATTTTCTTTTTTGTTTTAATGAATTCCTTCTAATATTTTTCCTTGTTTCATGGAGGAAATTGGAGATAAGGGACCCTCCATAATGAAACAAGTAACAATAAACAACAAATAAAAAGCAAAACATCAATGAAGTGATACTACTCAATCTCTTTGTATATCTACTAGGGAATGCTCCTCAAGCAGACCACATACACCAAATTGAAGCTAATCACAGTCTTGTGCCAAATATCTATTGTGTCGAAGAAACATCCTTAAAAATATGGTTGTTACACAATATGTTTTTGATGCTGACAACTCTCTTGGATTCTTCTGGTTGAAGCTGATCATTCTCTTCCTCAAGATTTCAGGATTTCTTCAATCTTTAGCAGTACGTTACCGCCTGTACAATTGGAAATTCATCTCTTTCCAATGAGCTGGTTACATCAAAATCATCCATGATTCTAAGGAAAAGCAAAAGTAAGATATGATAGAGCTGTTAATGCCACGTAAAAAATATATTTGTTTAGTTCAATATAACAAGAAACATGATCTTTTTTCTTTAGTTGAAGTTATTTCTTATTTTCTTTATGTTCATGGGAATTTCTATTTGCTTGTCTCCATTTTCTGTAGTTTTGTGCTGGCTAGCTACATGTGTTATATTCAAGGTTTTGAAAGCTAAATTGATCCTTGAATTAATTGATTGATCATTAAATTGAAGGAATGGGTTCATCAATGGTCATATGCATTAACCTAATAATCTTGCAAGTATTGGAGGCTTAGGTGATATGGTCCATTCCAAGTGATTCCAAATATCACAGGTTGAATGACACAATCAGGCAAACGAAGTAGCTGAAGTAATTGCGGGTCAACAAGACGGAAACTTAACATTCTTCAGAAAAAGGTAATTAACAGATTAACCTCTCTGTTTCAGTTTTTATATCACTGGTTACGATATTCTATATTGGATATTGGACAACTTTAGTGGTTTCCACTTCTTAATATTGTCAAAATAGAATAGCAGGAGTTCTTTTGCTATATAAAAAGAAAAACATGAAGAAAAAAAAAGGCTGGAGTTACTTAAAAAGCAAGAGTGGTGTGGTAGAGGTGTTATAAAAATGAGGTATCAAACTACTTTTATCTTATGTTGATTGCCTCAGCTTTGAACTTTCTTTGTTGTATATCTGTTTATTTGACTCCTGAAAATTAATGATATTTTCCATGAGACTGACAGAAAAAAGAAATTGTTGAAACTTGAAAGACAACTGCACATGGATCTTTGAGGAAATAGGTTTGAAGAATTCAAAGCACAATGACACTGGTAGGGATCCTAATGTCAAATTTCAACTAAAACAAGAAGAGCCTCTATCAAACCTGGGAAAATACAGAAGATTAGTCAGAAAAATAAATTACCTTTGTCACATCGAGACATCTCGCAGTAAGCTATCAATTATGATGGCCATTTGGATGCAATGATCCATATTCAAAATATATTAAAGGAACACAGTAAAAGGCCCACTAAAAAGGGCATACTTAGAATGTCTAGTGGATATTGATATTATGATCGAGTAGACTTGAAAATATATAGAAAAAATTAATATTATTTTTTTATGATAATTTTACTAGGTGGATACAATATAGTCTATTTCTAACATTGTATTTATAAGGAAATAATCCCACCGTTATAGGAAATAAAAATGTAAAAAAAAAAAATTACAGGGGAAATATTATGCAACATGACACGCGTAAAATATTCAATCATCATATTTTTTCATATATCTAATACATATTCTGACACTCCTTCTCAAGTCAGTGTACGAATATCTATAGTTCCCAGTTCAAACACTTTTGGTTAATATATCTAAAAGTTGTCCACCAAAAGGGTCATATCTTGCCGCTATAATACTATTCAATACACATATTTTTATGTGCTTCATCCTATCACACCGGACCATATTATGAACAATGCCAATGGTAGATTTGTTATTTTACATTATAGAACGTCTTTTCATTTTGTGTTTGCACAATGAAATGAAGATATTTTGAAAAACAAAATGACAAACAATAACTAAGGTGAATTTATTCGATCTCCCTTTGGTGTAATTGCAATTCCATAGCTCGATAGTGCTAGTAGCAAGTTGTTAATCCTCGAAAAAAATAAAAATAAATTCTCAAAAACGTTAAATATAATATTTATTTAGAAATTATATTTTATAATTTTAAAATAAATTATTAATAATTTAAAATTGTTTTGTACCAATATAAATTATATAATATAAATATAAAATCTAATTTATATATTCACTCTTATATATTAAACATGAAACTATCTTATTGATAATATTTTTGAGATTTTTTTTCGATAAAAGAATTTTCAGAGAATTTTATTTAACTTTATATCTAATTTAATATTTTATTTATTATATTCATTTATAAAATAAGTTTTTATATTTTTAAAATAAAAAGACGCATATTTAATAATAATATTGTTATAATATAAATATTTCATCATAAATTTAAGATATATTTATATCTTTTAAAATATATATTTATATAAATTTAAATATAATTTATGTATTTAAATATAATATTTATACTTATATATAATTTCTTATAAATTTTAATTATAATAATTTTTTTGTCATAAGTCTATGGTCGGCTATGTGGCGAAAAATTGACTAGCCATCTTTTAATTTTGGTTAAAAACCTCTTTTCATCCCTTATAATATTTAATAGTTTCAATTAGGGGTGGGCAAAACGAACTGAACTGAACTTATAAAAACTATACTGAACTTAAAAGTAGTTCATATGAACTGAATTAAACTAAACATTAGTTCAGACGAACTGAACTGAACTATTCATTTGGTCATTGAACTGAATTGAACTATACTATAAAAACTTAAACTGAACTGCAATTTAAACTACACTAAACTGTCATAATATTTTGAATTGAACAATTTTGACTCATTGATCTATCAAAATAGGACACATTTGCCAACTTTACTTTATTTTCCATTTTATTTAAATTTTTCAAAGAAAAAAAATATAAAATTAAGTCAAACAAACTCATTGAATTTTAAGCCTAAAAATAAGTAGTTCAACATAGTTCAATTGATCTATTAAGTTCGAAAAAATTGATACAATTTTTTTTCAGATCACTTTTTTTCTAAAACTTTGGTTATTAGACTATCAAGCTAATTCATTAAGACATAACATGTTAAACACATTTAATTTTTATTCTTTTATAAAAATAGTTCAATTTTTATAATTCAGTTCAATTTTTATAGTTCAGTACAGTTCAACTTTACAACAGTTCAGTTCAGTTCAGTTTTTTTTAAACAGTTCAGTTCAATTTTTTTACAAACAGTTCAGTTTTTTATAGTACAGTTCACCACCAGTTCAGTTCAGTTCGGTTCAATTTAGTTTTTTTTGCCCACCCCTAGTTTCAATTTAATCCCACTTTAATTTTTGGTTTCAATTTAGTCCCCAATAATTAAAATCGTTCCAATTTGGAACTTCCGTCCAAATAATTTAAACGGTGTTAACTCCCGCTGACGTGGCGGCCACTTGGATGCGGACGTGGATTAACCATGGGCACTGGGATGCCTACGTGGATTGACCATTGCCACGTGGAAAAATTAAAAAAGTGATAATTTCATTTAATTGAAACGTTAATTTCCCACATGCCTCGAAGAAGGTATTTTGGTTTAGGGTTTCGCGAGAGAGAAGAGAGAACTCAATTGGTTCACAGGAGCGTAAGGTATTCGAAGAAGAAGAAGGCGCATGCATTAGCGATTGATTTGAAGAAGAAGAAGCTCTAATCGGGTAAGTATTTAGTTTGGGGTTTTTTGTTTTATTCGTTTAATGTTTGGGTTTTTTTTGGGGTTCACAGGAGCGTAAGGGTCTTTTTGGGGTTTAGTGTTTGAGTGGTCCCAAACATTGGGTTCGTGGCAACTTGTGGTGTATTTTGGTTATTGTATGAAAGAAATGTTATCCCATTGTTTTGATGCTGTTCTGTGGTCCCCAAAAATGTGGTTGGGTGTTGTGCATATTGAATAGAGGTTGCGTTTTGTGTGGTCTCAAACAATGGGTTCGTGGCAATAATGAAAAAATGTTATCCCATTGGTTTTATGTTGTTGTGTGGCCCCGAAAAATGTTTTTGTGTGGCCCCGAAAAATGTTGTTGTGTGTTGTGCGCCCCACTGAGTTGTAGATTGTTGACCCACGTATAGATGGGCCAGTGACAATCACAGCCGTGATTTACAATCACACATGTGATTCCCTCTCTTATCCGTCAGTTAAAAATTCATAAGTTGAACCCGTCAGAATCACAGCCGTGATTTAAAATCACACCCGTGATTCCCTCTGTTAGTATTATATTTTAAAATTTCATAAGTTGAAGCCGTGAGAATCACGACCGTGATTTACAATCACACCCGTGATTCCCTTTGTTATCCGTCAGTGCAAAATTCATAAGTTGAAGCCGTGAGAATCACGGCCGTGATTTTCAATCACACCCGTGATTCCCTTTGTTATCCGTCAGTGAAAAATTGGTATGCTTTGAAGTTGATATTTGCTGCACCGATGATTGTACTCTTAAAAATTAACTGTTAAATTTAAACTTAAGCCAATGCTTCAATACTATCATTACTAATTCTTGATAATTCCATTGCAATTAAACCAACATTACAAAAATATCCAACAACAACATCCCAAAAGTTGTCTTTAAATACAAAACACCATAATTCACTACTTCAAATAAAACACCCTTCCAAATTGAACCAAATTGTTACAAATAACATACATTAAAACCAAATTCAACAACAACAAAAAAACAACAACAATTATCAACAACTTCATCCACCATCTTATTGACTTCAGAGAACTCTGGAGATTGTTCATCTTTCTCCTTTGCCTAGCAATCAACAAATCCCTTTCATCCACATATTCCTCTAAAGACCACTTGAAAAAGTTGCATCCTTGTTCTTCAGCATCACCAAACTACAGAATTTTTAAACCAAAGTAACAAAACCCCAAAATTAGCAATTAGGGCAAAATTAATTTAATTAATTTACATAACATACCTTGTAATTTGGACAACCCCAGAATTTTTTACCAGCATTTACAGCTGTCATTGTTGTTCGCAACATAGCAACCTCCCCACAATAGCAATAGGGAACAAAAAACCTACTATCATGAATTTCAGACCCACTTGAATTCGTGGAGTTCATTGGGCGTGAGTTCGAAAACATCCGGGACATTTGCGTTGTTGAACAGTAAACCCTAACTGTGGTAATCCTGCAAATGACAAGATGGGAACAACACAAACGTATTTGTCAAGAAGAAGAAGAAGAACAAAAAATAAGAGAAGAAGAACAAGAAGAGGAACTGGAGTGAATAATAACAACCTTCAGCTGAGAATAACAAAACTCATCCACAAAAATATAAAGAAGAAGAAAAGAAGAAGGAATCCACGTGACAATGGTCAATCCACGTAGGCATCCACGTGCCCATGCTTAATCCACGTCTGCATCCAACTAGCCGCCACGTCAGCGGGACTTAACCCCGTTTAAATCATTTGGATGGAAATCCCAAATTGGAACGATTTTAATTATTGGGGATTAAATTGAAACAAAAAATTAAAGTGGGACCAAATTGAAACTATTAAATATTATAACGGACGAAAAGAGGTTTTTAACCTTTAATTTTAATTTTTTAAAAATCAATAACAAGAAAAATAAAAATAAAAAAAAGAAAGAAGATTTAAAGTGATGCACACTTTCTCTCGGTCTCGCGCACTAATTCCTAGCTATTGACGGAGCCTCTCTCTCTCCCTCGACTCAGACAGCTCTTGTATCTCGGAAAAATGATCTAAAGACTATCTATCCTAAAGAGGCCAAGATATAGTGTGATCATTGCCAAAAACCTTACCACACCAAGGAGACATGCTGGCTCATTCATGGAAAACCCGCAGATTGGAAACCTAGAAGTCAGCGCAAAGCTGCTACCTCTGTTAATGTTGTTGAATCTTCTGCAAATTTAAAGAAGCAATGTTCTACTATTTTTTCTAATGAGCAAATGGATATGCTAAAGAACCTACTCTCTCAACTCAAACCTGAAGCTTTTGCATCAGCAAACTCTACAACAAACATTGCTCACAAAGGTAATGGTCAATTTTCTTTCTTGTCTAGAAACAAAAATACAGGAGAATGGATCCTAGATTCCGGAGCTATTGACCATATGACAGGGTCATTTGCTGACTTTACGTCATACAAGAAAGCTGATAAAGGTGTCACTATTACAGTAGCTGACAGTAATTCATCAATGGTAGCTGGTACCGGTGACTTAAACCTGTCAGGACTAAAACTAAAATCTTTCCTTTATGTTCCTGAATTAAAATACAGTCTGATATCTGCCAGTATATTGACTAAAGATCTAAATTGTGCCATAGTTTTTTACCCTTCTCACTGTATTTTTCAGGATTTGTCTTCGGGGATGATGATTGGCAATGCTAAGGAACACAATGGTCTGTACTTTGTTTCTAATTCACCATCAAAGTCAGATTCTTCTCAAACCACCTCCCTGTCAACCGTGTCAGTTTCAAATGTTTTTCTATGCCACAACCGTCTTGGTCACCCTAATTTCAATTATTTAAAACACTTGTATCTAGATTTATTCATCAATAAAAATATTTCTTCTTTTACCTGTGAACATTGCATTCTTGCAAAACAATCTCGAACTAATTATCCCTCTCATCCCTATCAACCATCACAACCCTTCCACCTCATTCATAGTGACATATGGGGTCCTTCTCGAATTCCTAACATAAATGGAGCCAGATGGTTTATCACCTTTATAGATGACCACACTCGTATGTGTTGGGTGTACCACTTGAAAGAAAAATCTGAAGCTAACACAACCTTTAAACAGTTTCATAAACTTGTCACCAATATTTTTGGCTCATCAATTCACATCCTTCGTACTAATAATGGGGCGGGAATACTTCTCTAATGATCTTAATGGTTACCTACAGGCAGTGGCAGATCTTCTTGGGGACTAGGGGGAGCCACGGCTCCCCCAAATTTTTCTATAAAAAAAATTATATATATTTAATATTATATTTATATAATTATTTTATAAAATAATTAGTGAATGATAATAAATTTTTGAGATTTTATTATCATGTATATTCAATTTGAGTAAAAAAAATGAGGAATATTTACGAACATGTTTACTCTATAAGGTTTGAAATTCCTTTTATCTTTGTTTACTTTGTAAGATTACAACATGCAAGTAATTTAAATTGTAGTAAAAATGATTCTATGTCGTAAGCATGTTAAGTACTGGTTTTATCATGTTATAACTACTACAAGTGTTGTGTTATTCTTTTTAACAATTTCAAAATTAGGTTCCTATAGATAATGAAATTACATGATAACTTTTCAAAATAATCTAGTCAAATTATTAAGTGATATGACTATTTCATTTTAAATATATAATAAAAAAAATAAATTCCAAGTAGTGACTCTAAGAAACTTTGACTAAATAGGTATAAAAAAAACATCATTTTTATTCCATCAAATAAGATTATCCCAGGACAACTCAACCTTTACCTGAAATTGTTTCATTAAGAATATTAGTCATAAATGTTCAGAGGAAAATGTGTTATTTTGTAAGAGAGAAAAAATAATTGGGATGAAAAGAAATTATTGTATTTTGACAATGGGCGAGAAACATCTTGATTAGTCATTCACTTATGATTTTCATCATTTCATGGAAGCTTCTCAATTTATTTAGTACATGATATGAGAGGATTTGGTTTTTGAGTTGGTAAGGTAATATTTGAAATAACAATTTTGGATCTAATAAATGTATTCTCAGAGGGAAGTTTAATGAATTTACCTTCATGAGGGAACTTCACTTTCCTTATTTTGATAGCTGGTTTCATTTTAAAAGTCTATGGGCCAATATTTTGTTTCATTTTGTTTGTTGTATCTGAACCACCCTTGGTTTGGCCAGGCTCACAAAGCCAATTTTTGGGAATTTTTAAGGTATTGATTCTTATGCAAACACTGAAATGGGATGGAGATAACATTGATTTACAAAAAAAATTTTAGGTTGCAACGAATTGATCTTTTGGCAAATGATAGAAAATCTATTTATTTCCTACCGTTAAATAAATCAAAAGAATTAATAGGTACAACATAAAACCCTACTGTAAACCAATGTTGTTATCATCGCATTTCAGTCATGGCATGATAATTAATACCTTAAAAATTTCCAATATATTGGCTTTGGGAGCTTTGCCAATCCAAGGCTGCTTCAGATACACCACACAAAGTGAATTGAAGTATTTCCCAATGGACTTCTAAATGCAACAAGATGTCAAAACAAGGAAATTTAAGTTCCTTCAGAATGATGAAGTCAATAGGCTTTCTTCTGGAAAGCCTTTTGTTGGATCCAAAAATGTTATTTCAAATAATTCTTCGTCGATTACAAAAGCAAATCGTGGCATATTTTCTTTTGAATTAATTGGAAAGCCTCAAAGGAAAAGTTGAAACACAAAAGTCAATCACTAATCAAATACATCTTGCCTGTTATATTAAATGATTAATTTTAACACATAGTTTGAAATTTAGGTAGAAAAATAGATTTAAAAAAGACACTCACATAATGAAACCCACGAAAAGTTTTTAAATCCACTAGTATGCCCCTCTAGTTTTTTTTAATGAATATGTTTACTCAACAAGGTTTGAAATTCCTTTTATATTTGTTTACTTTGTAAGATTATAACATGCAAGTAATTTAAATTGTTGTAAACATGATTCTATGTTCTAAGCTTGTTAAGTACTGGTTTTATCATGTTATAACTACTACAAGTGTTGTGTTATTCTTTTTAACAATTTCAAAATTAGGTTCCTATAGACAATGAAATTACATAATAACTTTTCAAAATAATCTAGTTAAATTATGTGAGGATTTTCCAAGATTTATAAGCTCTATTTAAGTTATAACTCTAGTCAATGTTAGAGTAAACACTACCCTTGAGGCTGCAATTAAGGCAACCCCAAAGAGGCTGCAACTAAGGCAGGCTAGGGGTGACTGCAATTGCTTTCTAACACCAGACTTGGTTGTGTTCTAGATTCTCCATTAAATAATTGAGCTCCAAATGACAGCATATTTTGTACAATACCAAAGAGTTACATCTCCCCTATTTCTGTCAATTTTTTTTACCGATTAATTTGATTTGATTATATTAGAATTATCTGTTCCAGGATACTATATGGATCAGGAAATAAGAAATAACTTTTAATTGCCAATCAAGTTCCCATAAAGCCTATGATTGGATTTCTTCTATTTTTTTTTTATTTCCTTGAGGTTTTCTCGTTTGATTGCATGTGCAGCTATGTCATAGACATTTTATAAAATATCTTGTTTGATTTCAGGAATATGATATTAGAAATGATAATATAAACTAAATTGTATATTTAATATAAAAGAATATGAAAGTCTAATACTCTTATCTCTCAAAAGAGAGTAAAATAGTTTATATATTTTAACATAAAAGGGGAGAGTGGTGTAATACTTTTATCTCTCATGTGAAAATAATGTAATTTACTCTATATTTTAACATTTTTCTTATTAATGTATATTTTAAAGATGTAATAAGAAAAAATAACTGCTCATTTTGTTAATAATAATGATCTTTTTTAATTGAAGAGTATTTTATAGTCCATGTTATGTGACTTAATGATCACCAGTTCTAGAGCTATTATATATGCCGTGGTGGCATTTTCAGGTGTGTTGATCACTGGATCCTGTCCAGTAGGAGAGAAATACACAAAGTAAGGGTTAGTGTTAAATTTTTTATCAACTATTTTATGTTAGTGTATCTCTCTTGTTAGAAAATTCCTATGTCAGAGAGGATAAACACAAATAATGTTATTGTTTTTCTTTTTTTGAGGTTTTGGTCTCTTTGGTATATCTAAAAGTCTAAAACTGTGAGAAGAAAAATAAATCCTAAATTAAAGGTGATCTTATAAAAAATTTAACCATAACCAAAATTAATTGGTTTTATAACAATTGGTTAATTAAAAACTATTACAAAAAATTAAATTTTATTTTTTAAAGTTAA